ATACTGAATAAGAGTTCTTCTAATTATGGCCAGCTTTATGCATACTTTATTTTATGTGCCTTATATAATTGAGCAAGGGGAGGGCCTATATCAAAATATGGCTATGGGACCCTATGATGCAAAGTGATGCCCCTGTATCTACCCAAAACATGACCTCAGGTTCCTGAGCAGAAAATAATGTTTCAGCAAATGGTGGTTGTTCAGTTCTGTATGATGCCTTGATGCACATTGTAAAAAAGTACATTTAATAAACGTTTGTTTTCACATATTAGGGAATGTAGGGGGATCCAGTGAAATCCCTAGAAGTAAATGCTGGTGTCAGCCCCTCTGATGGTGTCAACCGGTGTGGGCCGCATCCCCCGCACCTCCCTTGTGACACCACTGAGTAAATGTAAATGTTGATGCATGTTGAAAATGCATATCACCACAAAATAATGTTTAAGCTATAGTATTTTATTGTCCAATTGATGTACTGAATCCCACAATTCATGTGTGTAATCAGACATACAACATATATATACTGTAGGTGCCTATCATCAGTTTTTATACCAACCTTTAGAACAAAAACCATCTTCATATAGCACATGTAAATATCTATTAACAGTTTTTCTAATATCACCAAACTTACAAAAACATTGAATAAAATAGATTCATTTACAGAGACTTATGAAAGGAAATCTGTCAGCAAAGACTCCGTTCTCTATCATTTGCTCTAAAAAAAGAAAAACATGAGCTGACAAAATACAAAGGCTGCCACTATTGAACTCTTCTGAAAATTGGACTGGCTGTTATGTTCAGGCCTCAGTACCTAAAGTGGACCTGTACTCAAAAAGTGAAGACTGGCTATGTTATTGGGTACATTTAGGGGTCTATTCACTAAGCTGCCGTAGGCAGCCGAGTGAACGACCGACCTGAAGCGAAGTGAGCCAAACACTGTTCGGCTATTCACTTCAGGCTGGTACGGCTGATTCCAGCCATATATCGGCTGAAATCAGCCGTACATCGGGTGGCTTCGGGTCGGCCAAACATGCTCAGCATGTTCGGCCGACCCGAAGTGCAGAAGGAGTTTGACTCAGCCGATCCAACATCTGGATCGGCTAAGCCGAACCTCCGGCAGGCTACTCGCTGCTGTTCGGTCTATTCTCATAGATGCCGAACAGCAGTGAGTAAATAGCCGAACTCGGCTGTTCTGCCCGGTACCTCTGTGGGACCGAGCAGAATAGCAAAATAGTTTAAAAAGTAGGAAAAAAACAATAGAAAACGATTGGGCGGAGCTAGCAGTAAAAGCTAGCTCCGCCCAACTGTTTTCTATTGGCGGGCGGTTCTGCTGCCGTAAAAAAAAATTAAATAATTTTCGCCATAGGAATGCATTGCTAGATTCCTATTGGCTATTTCAATTTGCAATAGCCAATAGCAAACTAGCTATTGCACCCGCCCTCTAATAGCGCGAGACTCCCGGAGCACCCGGGAGAGTTGGGCTGTCTGAAGATCAGTGTCCCTGGTTACCTGGTAACCAGGAACGCTGCTCTCTCTGCAAGTGGCCAGAGCCAGCCGTAAGATCACGGCTGGCTCCGCTCAGCTGTCAGAAGCCGGCTGTCAGCTGAAGCTACGGCTAGATCCTTCGGCTGCTTCGTGAACAGACCCCATAGAGATGTTAATTGTGCCTGAGGAGTGCTCTAAAAAGGTGCCATTTGTCCTCAATCCCTAAAAAAAATTGCAGTGTACACCCTGGTATGTGAGTGTGCCTAGTTTCTCATGTGCTTAAAAGTAGATAGAAAGCCTAACTAGATGACATTTAGTTATTGTCTGTGGATATCCTCTGCACTTTGGATCATTGAAACTGGGCCGGCATTTATCACATTGTTAACATCTTATGTATCTCACGAATTAGGTATTGATAACATTCATACATATATACATGATATTCATAAACCATGTGTATTTGTAGGCCAGTACTCCCAGCGATAGGGACAAGAAAATTATGTGTTTCCAAGAATCATGCGTTATTCTGCTTCCTCAGCAGACCCCCAGGTTTATATTGCTAAAATGTTTTTGCACTTCATATATCCATATTTTAAAAACAATAGCCTCAGTATAGACTCATACTAGCAGCATCATGTTTCCCTGAGACGTACATACTGCATAATAGCGTTACTATCCCATGCAGATGCCACCAAATGTGGTACTGCTCAACAGACCCACATCCATTAGCCACAGACATATGCAAAATCAAATCACCCCATATTATTCCCATTATATAGTATGGCCGTGATGACATCAAATACATTTGTCATTGTATAGTCATGTTATTACCTTGCTATTGCTCATATAGGCTTCCCCCTGAATCCATAACAAGGACTCATCATATCCCTGCCAATTTGGTGGCTCCTGCTGTCACACTAGAAATCAGGACAACAGGATTGTAAGAACTTTCCAATGGGATCTACATGTCCCTGGCTCCTTCCATGCCAATTATGTATCACTATGTCCACCACAAAGGGAAACACAATGCTGCTACTATGGGTTTATACTGAGACTATTGTTTTTAAAATATGGATGTATGAAATGCAAAGACATTTTAGTCATATAAACCTGGGGACCTCCTGAGGAAGCATGTAGGCAGTTGTCAGTGACGGGGCAGCCTAGTGGGCTGCAAGGTGAAGTGGAGTAGCAATGGTAGATACTCACTTTTCAGCCGAATTGCTATGTTTTTGTGGAAACAGGTTTGTAAATAGTTGGCCTCTATAGTTGTCTCCAGCACCATTTTGGAGAAGCCTGGTGTCTGATAGGACACGAAATCTCGGGAGATTTGGTCGCCCATTTTGGGGTGGTTTGGTAGATAAGGAAAGCCCAGCCACGTTTTTGGCAGAACACGTGTGGACATAGACAGGGACAGTTACCCAGCCTGTGAGGGAAAGCTAGGGGATTCAGGGAGAGTGTTCCGGCCTGTTAGGCATAGATCAGGGTTCCTCCGGAGTCCTGCATCGGGAATCCAAGTCGGGTGAAAGACTCCCAGCTGCCTGTGGCCAAACCAGTATCACCGCTGTGAGTGCGGGAAAAGTGCGCCGGATTCAGATATCCCTCCTGTTGCCGGGTAACATTGTTGTAATTATCAGCCTCTACAGATAAGCATTGCTCGGGGTTATACTTTATACTTTATGCCAGAAAGTGGGAAGCGTCTACAGGGCCCCTCATCCAACCACCGTATATAACGAATGTGACTGTATGCCATATCCGTGATCTATGTGCCTAAAGGAAACAAATTGTCCTACTGTTGTACATATCCTTCTTTGCCTCTGCCTCTCCGGCAATAAACACTACCTTGTTTAAAAGACCACTACGTTTGATTCCCTCTGTGAAGCCGCCACACCCTAACCCCGCTTACAAGCAGAATAACGCATGATTCTGCAAAATGGGGTGAGTTTTCATGTCCCTGTCTCTGTGAGTACTGGCCTACAAATACATTGTAATATGAATATAATGTATGTATAGATGTTATTGAAACTTAAAGTGGACCTTTACCCCCTTTCACATCAGCATGGAGCTCTGCATGCTGATTTAAAATCTTCTTACATTCATTAGTTAAACAAACTTGTTTTCATTTATTTACAAATAGAGTTCATCTACTTCCTGGTCCACTTTGGCTGAAATGATGTAATCGTGCCCAAGAATTGCATCCTGGGAAGGGTACATCAGCAAAGCATTGCTGGAAAATCTCATCTGTAATCTCATGAGATCTCAGGGAAAGGCATTTTCCTCTGCTGATATGATATGCATGGTCACATGTCTTAGTCACATGTGCTGGAGTTCCAGGAAGTAAAGTGAGATCTAGTAATCTGCCCTTAGTAAACATGGCCACTGTGAGAAGACTGGGAAAGAAAAGAGAAACAAGAATACAAAGCCTGCCATTATCTAGAAGTATGTGTTTGTAGATTGGCAGTACTAAACATTTCTAAAGGTGTGTTTGTTGTTATTTTAAAAATATGGGTGAAGGTCTGCTTTAATGCATGAGATGTTCAAAATTTGATGTACTGGCCCATTTTCAATGATAAGGAGACTATCTCTCAGGAATTGTGATGCATTATAGAAATACTTTCGTATACTTTTTATGTGTATGGTTTTTATAAATATTATGTGTTAATTAAATAATTCAATTAGAAAGTTGGGCAATGGTACCACAAACATTGTTCCTTTTCTTTCTGTAGTGGGAATGTCATTTCGGATGTGGTACAAGCTCACCACAGAAAGGGTTGTTCTATCAAAGGTTGTGACTACATTAGAATGTGTGAACAGTGATGTGGTCACACGTTTTAACGTAATTCCGCCCCGTTTTTCGGCAGTGGAATGTGTGACCGCCAATAGGTGAAGCATTCCAGTGCTTTCCCAGCTGTTCCAGGGCAGAACGGCATCGCAAATCGCATGTGCAGGAGAACCGATCTGCCCTGAAACAGCTGATCGGTCCTGAAATGTCACTTCACTCCGACTGCGATCTCACAATTCACCGCACTTGAGGAAAGGACCCGCCCCCTCACTGGGAAGCCCGTCGGCAGTGCGGGGCCCCGGTGTTCTAACTGCGGGACCCTGCACTGTCCCATATAGCAGGACCGGACCCCACTGAGGCTGTGGGGGTGACCAGCCTCAGGCCCTGGTGCGGTGGCACCGCCCGCAACGTCGGTAGTTCCGCCACTGTCTCCAAGGATGTACCTAATATGAAGAGGGGAAGATGCTCAAGATGGTAAAATGTGATTGTGGTTGTATGTATGAACATTCTATAGTAAGTGCCCAGAAGTGCTACAGGTTTTCACAGTGTACATCTTAAACAGCTATTGCTATATTAGCCCCTTTCCTGTAAAGTCATCGAGGGTGTATAGTACATGTCCATTCTTACAGAGTGCTTTTTTATTTCTGTAGGATTTAATTGGAGAAGTTTCTACTGCCACCTACTGATTACATGAGAGACGGATAGATGAGTTTTTGTTCCATCTCAGAGATGTTTTCTATCACTGTGTGTATCTTGCACAGTAATACACGGCAGTGTCTTCAGTTTTCATGTTGTCCATTTTCAGATTTAGCATGTTATTACTGTTATCTCTGGAGATTGTGAATCTTCCTTTAAAATCATCATGATAGCGTATGGTACTGGAACCCGCATTTATATCACCTATCCATTGTAATTTTCCTCCAATTTCTCTCGCCCAGCTCATCCAGTGGCTAGTGAAAGTGAATCCAGAAGCTTTGCAGGTCAGTGTGTGGGAGTTCCCCGGCTTTATCACCACTGGGTCAGACTGGGTAAGTTGTTCTGCAGACTGGACACCTGAAAATACACAAAACAAAGTCACATCTGAGCGAAAATATCACTTTGGCTGGATTCAGTGACTTTTCACCTTTAGAGAAGTCTCACCTGATAACCATATCACTGCTATAAAGAGGCTCAGTAATGTCTTCATCATTGTGAATAATTTGTATGTGTGCACTTAGCTGATGTGTACAAATATCAAATACCTTTTATATTCTATGAGAGATATCAGAACAGGAAATTACATCATAACATTTACATAGCGTCATAAATATATGTGTCTGCTGTTCTTATGAGTTTGTGTCAGAACATGTGAGCACAAAATGCACAACTGAAGTAATAAAGCAACAATGTGGAGATAAATGGTCTGCCTTTATTTTTTCAATTATTTTGTAAAGACAAATATTCCCTAGGCTTATACTCGAGTCAATATTTTTTCCCAGTTCTTTGTGGTAAAATTAGGTACCTCGGCTTATATTCGGGTCGGCTTATACTCGAGTATATACGGTACTTGGTTTTGGGAGGGTGAACATTGGATTGGATCCTTTTGGCTTCCCACACTCCAAACCAAACTAGTAGGATAATTGGGCCTAGTGTATGTATGCATGCAGGCCCGGATTCCCCGTTTATAAAAAAATAAGAAAATAATTATAAAAAATAAACAATAAGATAAAAAAATTATAAAAAAGTAAATAAGATAAAATAGAAAAAAATAATTGATAAAAAATAATTAAATAAATATTAAAAAAATAAGAAGAAACAATTAAATAAAACAATAAAAAGTAAAAAAAAAAAATTAAAGAAACAATAAAAAAAAAAATTTAAACTAACCCCGCCGCCCTACAATCTGGTTGCCATTCTTCATTGATGGGAGGGGCATATTGCGGATCCTGGCCTTGGGGCTGCAGGGAGAGTAAATCCAGCCCTGTATGCATGTGAGGTAGGGACCTTAGAGAATAAGCACCTTAAGAGCAGAGATTGATCTGAATGTGCAGTATGTAAAGTGCAGTATAACTTTTGACTGCTGTATAAATACCTGAAATAAACACTGTGTTATATAGAAATAATGGTAATTGCGTTGCAGTTGTATACAGTTCGTGGGAATTTAATGTGATGCAGAATGTTATATTTTATTTATTTTTAAGTTAAGGTGAAACTCTTCCAGGTTAAATAACAACAATCTATTCAACCCGCTTCTTGTGAGGCCAGGTTCTTACAGACAAACCCTTTGAGGGTCATTGCACAGCCTGGGCTCACAGTACTCCAGGACTAAGCAGCACTTACACATCGTTATGCTATCTCTGAGTCCAGAAGAAACCAATGTTTCCTCTGCTTGCCAACACCGCTCTTCATCCTGAGAAGCAAATGTTCAGCTATACTTACCTTAACCCTTTCCATCCTGGATTGTAGCTTTTAAGCACCCTGGTGCTTAAAAGAATACAATCTACTCCTCCACTTGCCACCCCAAGTTATAGCTGCATGCTCACCTTCACTGTGCAAATCAAGGAGCTTGATGTGCATTTAAAGCTACAGGACATCTTCCTTGCAACCTCTGTAAGGCTTTGATCTTCCAGCTTGACCATTCAAGTAGACACTTCAAGGACTCAGGCAAGCTTACACTATGTGCTCACACTGACACCTCCGTGAGCATCCAATGCAGCTAACTGCAAGTATACTCTATAATCACACTAGCCCGTATTGACTCTTTTTCTCACCACTGATGTTCTTGTGTTTAACCGTGCTGAGTGCAGCTGCAGTACAAGTGGAGAGAGGTTTGAACTGGTGATTACTGGTGTTGGTAAATGGAGTCATTATCCCTATATGGGAACTTGTATGTATGTTGGACTCTTTCCGTTAGATACATTTAAGCTGTATGAAGTAATACAGTTTACTGAACACTTCCTACCTGGGACTTCTGTTTTTTAGGTAATTCCTCCATATAGTTAACTCTTGGACACTTTCTATACTCTTCCCTGAGGATAGCCCAAGCAGCCACGTCCGCTTCTCCTTTTGTTCTTCTGTCCTCTAGCTCTTGCTTGTTCTTTCTCCCTCCCCTGGTGTGTCTCTCCCTACCTCACCTCGGCTCCTGGGCCCTCCCCCTGAGGATATCTCGGGAAGTCCTCCTGACTGCCCCTTTCTGCCCCTTGCAATACCATGCACGCTCTGAAGATCTGCTCATTGAATGTTAAAGGCTTAAACTCTCCTCAGAAAAGGTCGCAACTCCTGTATGATCTCCATAAGCTCCGTAACCAAATTGTTTTCTTACAGGAGACACATTTTCTGCAAAATAAGACACCTCAGCTCTCATGCCGCAACTTCCCCCGATGGGTGTACAGTTCCAATCCCGGCGGTAAGACCAAAGGAGTGGCGATAAGATTCCACTCTTCCTTGACGTGTGAGATACTCGCTGAAAGGGTCGACCCAGAGGGGAGGTATGTCTTCGTTCAGTGCTCTATACAGAATAAGACGTTCACCTTGGTTAATGTTTATATGCCAAACCAAGGTCAGATTCCGCTATTGTTGTCTACCCTTTCTCAGCTTGAGGACTTTGCTTCGGGTGTCCTGATCCTGGGCAGAGAATTTAACTTAGTGCTCGACCCTAGTCTAGACACTACCTCCGGGAAGTCACAGGTTTCGTTCCCATCCCTTAATAGGCTCAAGAAACGCCTTCACTCCCTGCAACTAGTGGATGCTTGGCGGATTCAACACCCAAGTCAGAGGGATTACACCTGTTATTCTGGCACCGATAGCTCTTATAGTAGAATAGACTTTTTCTTCATTTCCCATCATCTCCTCTCTTGGGCCCCTACCTCTTCCATTGGCACGCAAATCTGGTCTGACCATTCCCCGGTCTTTCTCTCCCTAGAGGTCCCGGGAGCCTGTAGGCCGTCCTACACATGGAAGCTGAATGAGAATCTTCTCCTGGACACCCCTTGTAAATCGGATGTAGCCATTACGATTGCCAATTTTATCTCGGACCATGCGGCGGACTCTACTCCCGCTCCTATTCAGTGGGAAGCTCTTAAAGCCACTGTCCGTGGGGTGTTCATCAAACACGGCTCGCGTCTGAAGAGGGAGAGGGGGGCGACCCTGTCCAACCTGTTGTCCAATCTGGCCTCGTTGGAAACCATGCACAAAAAGTCACCTTCGCCTCCTAGAGAGGCTCCTAGACACTAAAAACCTTTCACATAGGGAACGGGTGCGCAGCGTTTTCTACGAACACGGTGATAAAAGTGGTCGGTTATTGGCGCGCTCGGTTCGCGGGCAACGACTCCGCACCTATGTCCCTAAGATAAACTCAACCAAACATGGGGTGGTCCATAGCTCGGAACAGATAACCGAGGAATTCCAGTACTTTTTTGTCTCCTTATATAGCCTGCAGGGCGCGCCGGATACTCCTCAGCCTCCTGACTTTTCGTCCAAGCTGCAGACTTACCTCGAGCATACGGCACTCCCTCCGCTCCCGAGCCATGCCCTTTCAGACCTCACCGCCCCTTTCACTGACCTTGAAGTTCTCAATACACTCAAGCCGCTTCCCTCGGGCAAAAGTCCTGGACATGATGGTCTCACCACAAAGTTTTACTCACGGTTCAAGGACCATCTGATACTCCCGTTGGTCGGCTCATTCAATTCTATCTCCCTGACCTGTCCCTTTCCACGCCAGGCACTGGAGGCCCACATAGTCGTCCTACCTAAACCGGGCAAAGACCCGACACACTGCAACAACTACCGCCCCATTTCATTAATCAATGTAGATGTCAAGATTTACGCCAAACTTTTGGCCACGAGGTTGGCTACCCTTATCCCGGGCCTGATCCACAAGGAGCAGGTGGGATTTGTGCCTGCCCGTAGAGCCAAAGATAGCATTAGGAGGATGGTCACCTTAATACACTATGCTCGGTCACGACATATCCCCTTCTGCCTATTCTCGGTTGATGCTGAAAAAGCGTTTGACTGTGTCAGCTGGTCCTTTTTACGAGCCTTTTTGCTCCAGACGGGTTTTCCCCCCGGTTTTGTGGGTAAAATAATGGCACTATATCATCGGCCCCACGCCAGAGTACGGGTGAACGGGACACATTCAGCCCTGTTCCAAATCCATAAAGGCACTAGACAGGGATATCCCCTCTCCCCTTTGCTCTATATCCTGGTCATGGAATGCTTGGCTAATGCCATTAGACTTAATCCCTCAGTGCAAGGTCTCCAAATAGGCAAACGGGTCCACAAACTACGGCTATATGCGGATGACCTACTGATCTACCTCTCCAACCCCCTGGTGGCTCTCCCTTCGGTGCTGCAGGAATTTAAATTATTTGGGGTCCTCTCCAATTACCGAGTGAATCTCCAGAAATGCGAGCTCTTAGATGTGTCGCTCACCCCCACAGAGAGGTCTTCGCGGGTCATTTCCTTTCACCTTGCGCTCGGATTATATTACGTGCCTAGGGGTTCGGGTACCATCCAACCTATCTGACCTTTACACACTCAACTTTGCCCCCATGCTGCAATCCCTGGAGGATACTCTTGCCTCTTGGATGAACCTGCATCACACCTGGTTCGGCAGAATTGCCTTGTACAAGATGCACTTGCTGCCCCGCTGCTTGTACCTGTTCCAAACCCTCCCAATACTCCTTCCTGCCCTTTTCTTTAAACGTATTTGCTCACTAGTCTTCGGTATGCCCTTCTAATCAAGCAAAAGTAGCATGGTGGGCCCGCGCTCCCGGACTTAGAGTCCTACTATAGAGCCAGTAGAAAGGCATCATGGCACACTCACAAGGCAGCATTGAAAAAAACATGTCTCACCACAAAGGTCAATAACAGAGGTTTGGATACACGTCTTCTGCAGAAAATGTGAAAGCCGCACTGCCGCGCCAAGGCACCTCTTATAGTGCGGTCCTAACTCTAAACTATGAGAGTCTCCATCTTGGAGCGCATGGGGGCAGAAGATTTCAAATTGGGTGCAGGTTTGTCAGGAGGAAGCCCAGCCTCCTTAAAGGCACAGGAACACACAAGGGATCCCGCACATCCCAATGGCAGCTGAGAACCCCCATGCATCACTGCACCAAATCGGTCAAGCAAAACAAATGACAAACGCACTCAACAATTCGTCACCAACTATACAGCAAGGTGCATACGAAATGGGCTTAAAACAGTAGACAGTAGAAAGGCATCATG